TTCAGCGGGATCATAGAAGTGTCTCCGGGGCTCAGTTGTCAAAACGGATTGATATGAATGTTCAGGGGGAGTTTTTTTAACAGCAGCCGATTAAAAAGGGGACTGACCACACAGTCATAACAGTGCATGCAAGTTAAATTCACACACGTTTGTAAGGAATGTTTACCACATAGTTAGCGAGTTGCTGGAGCAGGCGGCGATACGCTGTAGATAAACACTGGAGCTGAGCTGCTGTTTGTGTGTGTGTGTGTGTGTGTGTCTCTGCAGCCATACATAGTGGAGATCTGTGACAGCTTGAGAGGGAATATCTTCCAGAAGTTCATCGAGAGGTGAGTCAGGGGAGATGGAGGCGGAGGTCTGGGACCTGTGTGTAGTACTTTCACCATTTGTTCACATACAACTCTCTGCTTATTTCCTCCTCAGTGATAAATTTACTCGTTTCTGCCAGTGGAAGAACGTGGAGCTGAACATCCACGTGAGTCCAGATCACTTCTACTCCTGTAGTTCATGTGGTCCAGACCAGTTTTCAAAGTCTGACACTGGGATTAGGTTTAGTCTGTATGTCCACAGGGCAGATATCTGCTTAGTGTGAGGAGAGTGGGCCAGGGATATAAGTAACATGCAACACAGAAGTTAATTGATTTCAGCTCTCCTATTAATTTTTCTGTCTGGCTTCTGTTTGCTAGGTAACTGTTTTGTAATTACTGCTTCCATAATGCTTTGGGAGACGGACATTTCAGTCTGTCTCTGTTAAAAGTATACCGAGTTAGCTGTTTGCAAGATGACCAGACACTTATCACTGGATTACTTAAAAACATAATTCTTAGGCAGGTTCTGCAACATAAGGAGCATTTTTATAAGCCAATTTATGGACACTGATTTGTGATGTGCTTCAGATTTACCATGTCCTTCAACTGGAACGTTTTGCATTCAGGCCTCTGACTGGCCCCGTCTCCATAGCAATGGCAGCCAAGTTTCATGGGTGTTGTAGTAGTTTGAGCCAAAATAATGAAATATTAAAATTGATGTCAGTTCCTGGTTGGTCGTGGGCGCCCCCCTCAGGCTTGGTTACCTGCTGTGCTGTGACCAAAGTCACATGCTGAAGTCACACTGGGTGAACTCGGTGAACTACTTTCACAGTCCTGGCGCCAATGTGGTTTGAGTTCACACCCAAAAGGAAGCGGGCCAGACCTACCTTTTCAGGCTGTCTTGATGCAGTTGCTTTATCTGCACCAGACTTTGATCGATGGCTTTTACAGTAGCCCTGAATAAACTGAACTCAGACACACCACCAGAATCAGTTTGAGCCACACCAAACACATTTAGTGTGCCATCCTTCAAAAAGGTACTTTCCACTCCTGTTCTGCGTCTGTTAAGTCTGCCCGCTCCTCTCTCCATCTCCAGCTGACCATGAACGACTTCAGCGTCCATCGGATCATCGGCAGGGGCGGCTTTGGAGAGGTGTATGGCTGCAGGAAGGCCGACACGGGGAAGATGTAAGGCAAATTACACACACAGCCAATGGATACAAGTGAGAAGAAGCTCTAACATGCAATTGTTTTATTGTCAGGTATGCCATGAAGTGTCTGGACAAGAAGAGGATCAAGATGAAGCAGGGGGAGACTCTAGCACTCAATGAGAGAATCATGCTGTCATTAGTCAGTACAGGGGTGAGTGAGTGTTCTCCATGATGCTCTATAGGTCTGCTCCATTACATTTTATTTAACACAGTTACTAGTTACTCTACAGATAAAGGTACTAGTTACTCTACAGATAAAGGTACTAGTTACTCTACAGATAAAGGTACTAGTTACTCTACAGATAAAGGTACTAGTTACTTCACAGATAAAGGTACTAGTTACTTCACACATAAAGGTACTAGTTACTCTACTGATAAAGGTACTAGTTACTCTACAGATAAAGGTTGTACATAAACAATGTGATCCATCTTGTACAATGAGAACCTTGTCTAACGTGGAAGTGTTGCACTGAAGTGCCTACAGCTGTACCTAATAAAGTGGCCGGTGAGTGTATATGCTAACTGTATATAAAGTAGATCAAACTAGCTTCACCTGCTGCTACTTTCCTGCTTATGTTGTGATATTATAGTACTTGACTACAGAATGAGTACTTCATTACTTTTTGCATAGGATTTTTAATGCAAGACTTATTTGTAATGGAGTATTTTTACTCTATTGTACAGGTACTTTTACTTGAGTAAAGGCTCCCTGTACTTCTTCCACCGCTAATAGTAGTAAATCACTAGTTTGAAACTAGTTAACGGGTTTACAGAAAACACACGGAGAAACGGTTTCTGATTCCAGTTGTTGAAACTCTCCGTCTCTCCAGGACTGTCCGTTCATCGTGTGTATGACGTACGCCTTCCACACCCCCGACAAGCTCTGCTTCATCCTGGACCTCATGAACGGTGAGGTGACCCCCACCTCAGGTTAAACTCCAGCCCCAGTTAGTCTATTCTGAGACAGAGAGATTGGATTACTCAGCATGTCGCTGGCCAGAGAATCAGGAGCTGATGGGATTGTGACCTCAGTGATAATGCACCACACCACAGTGACCTGCCTGTATTAACCTTCCTAACATTTGATATCAGCTTTCTTTGTACTTGCACGTAATTGTAAGTATTTCCTCTTAAGAGCGAGCAGCCAGTTTTGGTGCTTCATCAGAGGCTGCACTCAGCCAGTCTCCTAATCAGAGCCTGAGTCACCTTTTAAAGTCAGCACAGTCATCATCATGTGGTGCACTGTAAGGCACTGCTTCAGCCTCGGTTATGCTAAAGATAGAGTCAAGCCAATATATGTTAAAACTGAGACAGTTGCTGCTGCAGAGAGAGTCACAGAAAGTCTCATCTATTCTCACTCTCTCCCCTGAGGAGATGATCAACATATTGATTCAAGCATGAGGTCTTACAAGGTCACGCTGATGTCTTCTGTTGTGTGTCTTTATCTGTGTGTGTGTTTAGGGGGTGACCTGCACTACCACCTGTCTCAGCACGGCGTGTTCAGCGAGAAGGAGATGCGTTTCTATGCTGCTGAAATCATCCTGGGGCTGGAGCACATGCACAACCGCTTCGTCGTCTACAGAGACCTCAAGGTAGACATGCTGCTATGATTCAGGAATGACCTGTGAAATGGTCGGGGAACTTTTAAAGGACGTCTGGTGACATTCTTTCTTTGTTACTGTCATCAAATCTCACAAACACCAAAACCTACAGAGCGTTGGTGTCCACAAACTACCTCCACAGATGCTGTTTCACATCAGCCATGTTTTCAGTCTGTTTTTCCTCCAATTCCCCTGTTTGGACTGGTTGCCATAATAATAGGTCTGTTTCGCTGGACGTCAGGGAACAGTTTTAGGGCTTTGATAAACAGTGCAGTGCAATGCAGATACTACTCTCAGGTGTAGGAAGGGAACGAGAGTAAGTGAGTCACAGTTTTGCCAAACAGTGGAGGATAACCAGGACAGGAGGCTTTTCTCCTGTTGTCTGTGTCCACACAGAACTCTCTCCTGGTGAGTGGAAATCAAAACCAAAGACGAGAATTTGTGAGGTCTCCGACATCGTTTCTGATGCTTTTGATCTTTTCTCTCCTGTTCTGCATCAATATCACCTCTGCCTGTGTGTGTCCTCCCCCAGCCAGCGAATATCCTATTGGACGAACATGGTCACGTCCGTATCTCCGACCTGGGCCTGGCCTGCGACTTCTCCAAGAAAAAACCCCACGCCAGTGTGTAAGTGCGCCTGTCTGTGTTGAAGCCCATTTTCCTGGGATTTGTTTCTCTAGGGGGAGGTGGGCGGAGCTTAAATATTGAGCCCTGGCTGCAGTAATAATTACACATGCACTTAGCTGTGTTTAGTGTTGCTGAGTCTCATTAGCTTGGCACAGTTGTATGACAGCTGAAGAAGTAGAAAAGGATGTTGCTCAGCTGATCACCCATTAATCGGCAGATGGTTCATACATGAAGGAGAAAGTCTGCAGCCTGTGAGGCACAGTGGTGCTTTGAGCTAAGTGCTAACGTGATGGCAAGCAGGTATAACGTTGGATGAATGGGACTGCCACAAGTGTTTAATCAGTAAAAATAAAATGTTAATGATGGAGAATGAATAAAACTCACAGCAGGTCAACATGAACTAGTGCTGGGTTGCATTTTGGATCCAGTTCCTGGCAAAGTACCAGCACTTGTTAAGCTCTGATACTAACAAATCTATCAAACACTGCACATTTCCTCTTTAATCTTTATTAGCAAAAGATAAAGTTTGTCCAGCACTTGGTGATTTCATTTCCACAGAAGGGTCAAGGCCCTGTGAAGGTGAAGTTAATCTGTTACGGTCGCCTTTTATCACTAACTACATGCAAAACATTTTTAAAATGCAGTGTGTAACAGTGCTGCAGGAGGGACTGGCGTACCTGACCAGTCAGCTCTGCAAATGTTCCTGATCATTCACAAGGTACCAGCCCCTGAGTGCGGAGACTTTTGCTGGGCCTGGAGCTTAATTTAGACCCTGGTTCCTCTTGGGGAAAGGTTTTGCACCAGTGAACTGTGTCAGCACGGAGAAATGATCAGCTGATCACAGCACTTTCAGTACAACTTTTTACTTAGGTCAAATCCACATGTGAAAGTCATTTAGCTCCATTATTTGGGTCAAGGGTTTTGTGAAAAGCAAATTATGTTCCAGCTGTTGTTGTACAGTTCATATCAACAGGTGTTGTTAAATGAATCTGTATTCATTCATTTAGTGGCTCCCACTAAACATCTGCATCCTGTTCACAGATCTACACTGAATCTGTTGTAGTTATAACGTTAGTCACTACTGGACTTGGATTTGATCAAATGCTGCTAAACCCCCACCTTAGTCTGGACTGATCTACTGTGTAGTGAGCGGTTTACACACTGCTGCAGATACTAGTTCCTTTCTTACTCCTTACATCCTAACTGACATATAACAGCAGACAGACAGGTCGTTAGCAGCTGTCTGTGTTAGGAACTAAACTACATTTTAACAAACACCAGGAAAATAATACTGATATAACAAACTGATATTGTTACGCTCCAGAGCAGAGTGGTTACAGCGCAGTGCATGTGCAACTTGGGATTGAGTCCGAGCACCGACATTTGTCTCCCCTGCGCTCTCTGTCTCCCTTGTTTGCAGTCCGCCTCTCTGCTGTGAACTGTAAATAAAGGCTAAAAGCCCAAAATCGAACTTCAAAACCAAGATATTAAACTGGCAGTGCAGTGTGGCGTATGACAGAACCAGCTCTTTGAAGCTGTAGTAGCTACAACACTGTTGGGAACAATAACAGCCGATTTTATTGCCAACCTTCAGTGTGTGTCTCTGCTCATGCATGTGTAAAAACAAAGGAGGGTGTTTGACGTCACCCTGTGGTGTGTTTGCTGCAGTGGCACTCATGGTTACATGGCTCCAGAGGTTCTTCAGAAGGGGACAGCGTACGACAGCAGTGCCGACTGGTTCTCCTTAGGCTGTATGCTCTTCAAACTCCTCCGAGGGTAAATACTGCAGCTTTTTTCTTTCCTCTCATCTGCCGTCTGCTTTCAAACCTCTCCTGCCGCTCTGAGTGAGCCTCTTTGAATCTACTCTCCCCCTTCTCTGCAGCTCTCACCAACTCACCGTCTGTCTGGTGTGTGTTTGATCTTGTTCGTGTGTGTGTGTGTGTGTGTGTTTGATCTGGAGTGTGTAAATGCCAGAGGTCTGGCCCAGTAGGTCAGAAATCAGGTAAAAAAAAAAGTGTGTGTGTGTGTAATAGTTGCTAGGTCTGAGCAAGCAGAGAAAAAGAGAAGAGTGTGTGTGACGTGTCTCTCCATTGATGTTTGGATCAGTGTGTTTGAACACTTTAAAGATGGAGTGTGTTGGTCTTTGGTGAAAGGTTGGCTGCACGTTTCAACACTTGGGCTCAAAATTCTGAATCCTCTCTGTAAAACTTTAAAAGTAAAGCAAAGTGTAGTCATGTTTTTTCCCGTCAGTCTAAGGTTGTAGCCCACATGCTGGCTCCGACTGTAAAGGTTTAGCAGAACCTGAGAACTGACTAGAAATGGACAATACATTCTCAATATGTTTAAAGATGACAAAACCTGAGGTAGAGCCCTTCATGAGGGGGAAGACACCTGCTTTGCTTCCGTTTGTCTACAAAGTTCATTCCCCAAAATGTTGACAAAGATTATTTTCCCGTTGTGGAGCCTCCAGTCTGCTCTCAGAATCAGCAGACGAGAAGATAAGTTGAGCACTAGTCGTGTTGGGGTTTAAAACTAATGAACGGTACAGCTGTCTACCAGGTTTCATCCCAGCAGTGTCCTGAGACGGCCCCCCACACGAGGAGGGAATCATCTGACACAATGTTAGAAACTAAAAACATATTAAGGGAAAGTGGGCCGTGACTAATATGAGAGGCACTCAGGGAGATTTACGGAGGGATTAGGTGGGGATATTACAGCCTACAGTAGGTGACAGTGGATGTTACACACCTGCATAAAGAGCCTGTGGCAGCTGCCGGACAAGTTCAGCTACTGAACTCTCTGAGTTGTTGTGCTGAAATACTCCAATAATAATCAGAGAAAAGGTTTAACAACAAAACTCTGAATTAAAAACCACGATAATATTGATATGGAGAACAGAATGTTTCAGCTCTGACATATTTGGTTTCATATTTAACCTCCACATTCATTCAGATTAAGGTGCTATGATTTCAGGTCAGACTGGTGGTTTTCTTTTTCTCATTGCGAAAGACGGATTGACTCGAACAGCAGGGGTGTTTCTCAGGTTTTTTTCTATGGGTCGGCGTTCCCTTCATTGCAGCTTAGTCCCGAGGAGAGAGAGGACTCAAGGAAACAGGGTATTAACGGCATGAGATGTCTTTTCCTCTGGTCCTTCATCTGAAGCGTCTAGTCACCAGCTGATTTCTGATATGGCGTGTCGGTTCATCGCTCATGGCTCCTCCAGCAGCCGCCTCCTCGCTTGTCAGAGCCGATATCGAGAGCCAAAGAACGAGCATGTAAGAGACATGGGAAACACCCCAGGTCTGGACAAGCTGTGAAGAGAAAACACTAAGCACAGCTGGGACACGGTACAGAAAAATCTGTTCAGGCCCAATGACTACGAGGTTAAAGTGACAACTCTTAACTTTCATTTGGGGGCGATCACATGCACGTAGGATGTAATCAGTTTTGTGCCAATCGCGGATGTGACCACACTCAAACCCCCTTAAAGCTCCACGCCAGCGCTTGAACCTGCAGGTGGCTAATCAGACTGAGGCAGGTCTAGGTAATGTCTAATTAGACATTTTTCATTTGTAGTGTTATCTGTTAATATATGTGAACCTGCTGCTTCAGTTGAAGTATGAGGAGTTTGAAAGGTGTGATTGGCAGCATGTGTGTGATTTGTTCCGGGCTCGAGGCCGTCTCCTCCTCCTGGGCTTTCCCCCTCGCATCTGCAGTCAAGAGTGTGAGTCGCTGTCTCTCTTCTCTCTTCTCTCTCCTGTGTAGGCACAGTCCCTTCAGACAGCACAAGACCAAAGACAAACATGAGATCGATCGCATGACACTCACCATGGTAAGACACGTCTACACCCCACAGGCTTCCTAGAAGTCGGCAGCACTAACAAAGGTGTCCGTGGTGGTGGATACACATTGCAAGGAGTTTCTGTGTAAACACATTATAAAGTATGAGTCTTTATTTAACCCTGAACACATGGGCTGGGTCTGTGTTTACCTTACAGTCATATGAAATGCAAATAGATCTTTATATCCCTGTGCACACTGTATTGTGTGTGAGCAAATAGTGGAAGGATCCCCGGTGCAGTCTAATTACACGACACCTATGTACCTGTGTGAGCCATGTTCTGGTGCCAGGTGGAGTATGTTTTCCCTGCACGTTCTCGACAGAGATAAATGTCTTTGTCGGTCAAGTTCAGGGTCGTCTATTAGTCCTTCTGTTTGCCATCCAGCACTCGGCTGTCTGTTTACTCTGCTGTGTCATGGGGAGACACGGAGATGAGGCATATGACAGAAACCTGGCTTAGCTAAACCGAGCTGGCAGCCAAGCTGGAAAATTAAAGTACACCCCTGGGGTCAGATGGATTCACAGCTACATCCAGCACAGGTTTACTCAGGGAGGCAGGGATCTGTGCTCCAGGCAAACTTTAAAAGAAGAAAGACATCAAAATGCACAAAGAATTTCGTGGGTTTTGAAGTTTTACAGCTCATCTCCATCCATAGCTGGGCTCTGCTTCTTGCTGCCTCACTCACATGTTCGAGCGTCACCGTGGAGAACGTGCAGAGTGGTTTTTGTTTTTTTTCCCCACGATCTGCAGAAGATGCGTATTTGCAACTTCATAGTCATTTACTTGTACTTGTCAAAGAACACATATCAAATAATAAACACATATCAAATGTCTGTCGGTTACACTAGACAAATCCAACTCTGACCTGCCCCTTGGGTCTTTTTAACAGCAGATGTTCCCAGCTTTCTGAACATGAGTTAGAAGTGAATCGTCCTCTTTGGCTAAGGATGAACAAGACAGACACCAGCACGCAGAGAGCTATTTAACCAGACAGCAGTCAAGAGCTTTTATTTTGTTGCTTGGCCAGTTCACACACCGTCGGTGGATCCAGTGTTCACTGACGACAGCAGACTTATTCTACCGGTCACAGTTTTCACTGTAGCCACTGAAATCAACAGTCGCTGTCTTAACCTTTACCTTGTTTCAGCTTGTGGAGTCACTGTTAATGATGAGTTATAATTCCAACCATTGTACAGTTTTCTCTTTCAAAACACAGCTGTGATATAAAAGCTGATAGCCGTTCAGTCCTGTGTGTAGGTGAACATGAGCACTCGACAGGAAAACAGCCTGAGCTCACCTGCAGTAAGTTCAGTAGGTCAAAGCTGGAGCAGGAAGTGGACTTTGATGGAGTTTTACAAGGCACTGGTTGGGCTGTAACTTTATCATTTGCCATTGTTTTCTCTTCTAAACAAATCGGTCTCACCTGGAGGTTTATTTCCAACCTGCCTGTTTGTGCCTCGTCAGGATTCACTTTGCTGGTGTCGCCACGTTTCCAGATCATTGTGTAATGAATAAAGAGCAATGTTTCCTGAGGCCATGCTCTACTAAAGTAAGACCCATTTTTTTGAAACCGCTGTTTGAACAAGAACTGGCCAACAGCACAAGCATCATTGTTTTTAAGAGGCCAGGGGGTATGACATAAATAACCTCAGGTTTTGGATAGGCAGCGCTACACACACATTTCAGGCTATACCAGTGAAGCATCGAGGCTTGGCACCCTGTCCTAATTAGAATTGTCTGTTGGCAGAATGTACTGTTGAGCCTTGTGATGTCACATTGGTCAGATTCAGCAGACACTCGGGGTGGACGATGTCCCTTGAGCACATCCAGTGACTTTGTCTTCACATCCAGGGTTCGGCAAAGAAGACGTGTTGTTTTAACTCGACTGACTTTACAGTAACAAACTGTGAAGTGAGTCTTCACCACAGCTTTGCTCCTCTTCGCTCGGTTTGCCAGCAGCAGCAGTTGCCCATCAGTGGAACACGTCCAGGTCTCTGTGTCGGTTTATGTGTTTGTCAGGATGTGAAGCAGTTGCGAAGGGTAGCTGCTTCCTCCCACACACGCAAACACACAGAGACAGGCGCTATTCGGCTGAGCAGGACCTGTAAACAGAGAAAGTATGATCTTTCATATCACAATAAATCCAGTTTAGGATCTTAATCCAGCCACTTAATCTGGTTCATCCCTTTAATCCTTGTCTGTGTGTGAGAGAGCGGCCGATAGAGAGGGGCGAATAAGCTGTGATTCAGCCCTGGCCAAGCTAAAAATAGCTGCTCTATATGTCTTTGTGTTTATTAAACGTGATGAATGGTGTCATTACATAAACACAATAGAAGCAGTGAACAGGGTGAGCACTGAGCAGCCAAGACAGGAAGAGGTGGAGAGAAGGAGGGATGGAACAGATCCCGACAGATGAAACAGCCGAGTAAAGCCTGTCAGCGAGACGGAGATGTGAGGCTAAAAAAAACGGCAAGGGCTTAGTTATTGTAGGTTGGCCACTGATTTGTCCCGTAGTCAACAGTTGGAGCTGCAGTGGGACTTAAAAACCACACACAGCTCAGTCAAATGAGAACATTTTTAAATTCAGTGTGACTGCAGCGAGGATGTCATTTTCTCCCATGTCCTTCACAAATAGAGGAGTGTAAATCCACTTAGGAACTGTGGAAACGGACACTTGCCCGAGAATCAACAGGTTTTTAATTTTCCGTCAGAGTTTCCCATTAACAATTGTCTGTACGTCCATGGGTACAGTGCAAACAGGAACTGCTACCGGCTATTACAGCATACTCTCAATTACTTACAGAAGAGAGTTTATCAATAATTTGACAATATACATTTCAGAATATTCTACCACAGCTTCCCCCTTTTTTGACATAAGATGAACATCGAGCAAAACCGATGTCCTATGAATTCCATCTGGCTAGGCCTAACAGTTTAAATCCTCTTTAAATGTGGATTTTATATTGTCTTGTGTTTGTGAATGCACTTTCTGTGTGAGTCACTTTGTACTTTAAACGTGCTACACAAATAAACTCACCTTGCCTAGTGAAGGGGCTTGGAGCTGATACACCCTGGTCACTGAGAGAATAAATGACAGGCTTAGTGGCTTCATGTCATAAATTCTATTGAGTTAGTGACGATAAACAGTTCCTGACGCTCGTTCCTCAGAGTCACTGCTGTGGCACAGCCTTCTGGACAAAAGTAGATACGATTCAGTGAAGATAAGGAAGTGGATTGGCCCAAGAATCTGGCTGCTCTAGTCTAACAGGACTGGGGGGGGCGGGCTGAAGACAGAAGGTGGCTGTCAATAACGTTTTACTTCCTCAACAATGATCAGACTGAACCAGGCACGAATGCACAGTCGGTTTTGAGGCAACAGCTGTGGCTTGAAACATTTTTGCATCAGGAAGCTTTGAGTAGAAACAGTCAGGGTTCCAGGAAATGACAGCAGTTGATGCACATGAAGCACATCTTATCCCGAGAGGTGGGAAAATATCGTATCGAACAAGACATGACAGGAGCATGAGCAGGTTTTGAAACAGCCCTGACCAGTCGATACGCTCTCTTTACTGTTGTGTGTCTGGCCTAGCAGATATTCTCAAACAGTATCACTGGATTTAATAATTAGTTTCTGTATGAGACTGTGGTCTGTCCACCATCTGGAGGTGGGTTACACTTACCGTGCACGTTCTGAATGTGATTGATCAACAGACTCTTTGGTTTCTGATGTGCAGGTTTTGAGGTACATGAAGTTCCAGTCAATACTACATTATAGTTTGTACTGCACTACAGCAGTTTTTACAATACAGACTTAGTTTTCATGCAAAACATTGAGTATTATAAAATGTTAGTGCTTTTTTTCTGAAATAGAGTTCAGTATATCTGCTGAGGTGGAGTTTTAGCACCAACATTGAGAGACAAACGCGTTTTATTTCCAGATCTGCAGTGACTGTTGGACAGTAATACATGCAGTAGATGGATCACCAGATACCTGGAAACAGTCAAAGTTTTATAAAACAAACCCCAAACTAACTATCTTCAGTGCAACTGAAGACTTTCAGGAGTTTGTGAATCCAAGGCAAGATTCGGATTCTTCACTGCTTTCAACAGTTTGGCAGCCTCTTGGTTCTACTTCTGTCAGTAACGTACACAACACGGGTTGCACGTTCTCCTAAAAAATAATCCTGTATCTAAACAGTTCACTCTGCATTTCAGTCACTCTACCTCTGACGATCTTCTCCTTTTGATGCCCAAGTGGCGCCAAGGATCAAACAACAGGAAGTGAAAACCCCAAGTCCAGTTGTGTTGGAGTCCTGCCGACAACGCCAAATTGAATAAAATTAAAAATGACCCAGGCGCTCTTCTTGGTTGGTCTTTGTTGACCTAAACGAACACATTTATTCTGAGCGCAGTGAACAGACTCCACATGAGAAGCATCACAGAATCTGCTCTGTGCTCTCTTACACCGAGCTGTAGCTGTTGGTCTCTGAACACACGTTCCAGCCAGCACAGTTTCAAGAGGTCATGCAAACAAAAGAAGTGAATTTAAAAATGGGGGGTTGGAGGGGGGGTGTTGAGGGGTCGCAGTTACTCTAATTTAGTATGAGGTGGACCACGCTCTGATATTTTATACAACCTTTGTTCTTCAGTAATAGGTGCAAATGATGTTTGATCTATTTTCAAACACCCCGTTCTCGGCGTCTGCCCCTTGTTTCCTCCTGCCCTCTTTCTCTTGCAGAACGTGGAGCTGCCAGACTCCTTCACTGCAGAGCTCAAAGATCTGCTGGAGGGACTGCTTCAGAGAGACGTATCCAAGAGGCTTGGCTGCCAGGGCCGAGGGTATGACACACAGATACTTCACATTGACCTCTGTCCATTATCAGTTGTTTATGACCACAGGCGTGCAAATGATTTGATCACATTTTGCTACATGTGCTCATTAAGGCAGAAAATAACGAGTGCTGTACTTTGTGACCCACTGACGACGATAGAAAGAGACACAGAGTTCATAACTAATTTCACCAGTGCTGTCATTTCGGCTTTGTCATCGGCTTAGCACTAAACCGGAGTGACGGATCACTGTCTGCACTGGGTTTTTGGTTAAACAGCAGGATTGTGTGTGTTCTAGTCAGAGGGCAGTAGTGTGGCAAACACTACCACCTAGTGTTGAAATGAAGATTGAAATGTTGGTGAGAAACCCTCCGTCAGTATCGCTCTCTCTCTGTCACACATGCAGAGCCCTGGAGGTGAAGGAGCATCAGTTTTTTAAAGGCATCGACTGGCAGCAGGTGTACCTCCAGAAGGTGAGTGAGTTTTACTGCTCCATGAATCATCTTTTGTTCTCTGTGCCACGGGCTTTTTCAGATTTATTTAGTGAACCTGTGAGCTTATTGTTTTGGTCAGTCTGTCTGTTCTGCCTAATCAAACACCAAACTGTGGAGTGATTGATTTGCTGCTGTTGTTTCTAGCACTGACTGATGCTTTTTGAACTGTTTGTCAGCGTAAATCTAGACCGATTTCCTGTGTAAGAATTGATTATTTTTGCAGGAATCTTCAGATCAACAGTTCCAGACCAGTAGTTTTCTAAAGTTTATTTATTCACACATCCTGTGTATTTTCATTACAACAATAAATATGTAACAGTAATTGTACTGTTATTACTGTTCTTTTTAAAATGCATTGACCTAAAAGAGTTTTTCCAGGTGCTTTGTTTCCCTCTGGTCAATGTATTACAGATATTCATATATTATAAGGTCTAAACATGTAAAGCTACTGGTACAGGCTTTAAAGAAAAAACAGGCAATTAACTGAACAAAAAGGACACCATCATGTCTGCGTCTGAGTAACTCTAAGGTATGGATGGTCAGGCCAAGAAATCAGTACCTCAGTTGGTTCCCATGGCTTGTTGATGGTTTGAAGTTGTTCTGGATAAAAAGCATCAAATTGTCTGGTTAATTTGAGCAGCACATCAGGTCACATCATGGGTTCATAGGCCACAATGGACACAGTTGCTATGGTTACCGCATCACTTCAGGAAGCAGTGCGCAGTCCCTGTTTCCCCTCCTGCCATTTCTTCTGTTCCTGTTCCCGTCTGAAAGCCATCTCTCTCTCTTCCTTCCCTCTCTCTCTAGTACTCTCCTCCTTTAATCCCTCCCAGAGGAGAGGTGAACGCTGCAGATGCTTTTGACATAGGCTCCTTCGACGAGGAGGACACCAAGGGTATCAAGGTACAACAGACTCCATAAGCTGCCTTTATTACCCACTTACCTCACCACAGGACTTGTCTGTACACCGTGTTCCCCTCAGCATTTTATACCCGGTCACAAATAACAGGATGTGGGCTCAGCAGGAGGAGAAGACTACCTGCCACAGTATCTTCATAACATAAATAAGTGCATTTTCAGTATAAGGGAAAAAGTAGCTTGCTGAAGACCAGTAAAAATCAGATTTCCAAAGTCAGATACTCGTCAGCTCTAGCTAGCTACCGCGACATCTCCAGCTCCAGTGAGAAACAGCAGCTGCTACTTTTAGGAGCTTGTCGCAAACATTTCTCGCACTTTTTTTCATCAATAGACCAAGCAATGAATTGATTGATAAATAAAACTGTTTGCCAACCAATCTGACCTTTTATTTGTTTACCCTCAAAATACGCTTGAGTGAGAACAAATCAGCAATCCCAAACTATTTTGATGATCGATTAGTGCTTTGTCGTTTTCTAAGGAAAGCGTGAGGTTTTCAGGTTTTTCTGTGTGATAGATGAAAGTAAACTGATCAATAAATCCACATTTCTCCCTGTGATGGTTTTTTTTTTTGGTTCCCCTGGAGCAGCAGCTTCGTTCCTCATTAATTTTAATGTGCCTGCAGTAGCAGTTACTCGCCCTCTGACACTTCAGTGCAGAGGAATAAAAGACAAAAGAGTTTGCTTACATTTCCCCAGACAGTGCTTGTCATTAACACAGGAGTAATCTTTTTCATAAGTGCTGTCTAGTAATGGGAGAGCATTAAGGTGCAAGAAGGACCCAGTGTAGCTCCAGTCGTCTGATGTTAATCCATTCAGAACAAAGTGACTGTCTGCAAGACAATAAATAACACGAGACAGAAACTGATCAGGCAACGTCTTAGAGACCATGAAGATTACACCACACTCTACTGTAGTGTAGTACGGTGTGACACTGAGAGATGGCCTTAATATTTACTCTGCCCTCACTGATCCAAATGGGGTGGTTAAAATATTTAAGTTAAAAATTGTTGCCAGGTTTGTGCTCTTGAATCCAGACTTTTCAAAAGATGTCAGGTGCATGTGGCCAAAAGCAGCAGGGCTCAGTGGGATGCTGGATATTAACAGTTCAACACATGAGAAGAGTCATTGCTAAATGTTCCTGTCGTTGTCCCTCAGTTACTGGACAGTGACCAGGAGCTGTACAAGAACTTTCCTCTGGTCATATCAGAGCGCTGGCAGCAGGAGGTGGCAGAGACGGTGTACGAAGCCGTCAACTCGGACACGGACAAGAACGAAGCTCGCAAGAGGGCTAAGAACAAGCAGCTGGGCCATGAGGAGGGTAATGATAATGGACAGGCGGAGGAGGCTGACAGACAGCAGATCACAAACACAACAGCCCTGTCACAGTGCACCAGCAGGTATCTAACCGTGTGTGTCTGTGTGCAGACTACGCCCTGGGGAAGGACTGCATAATGCACGGGTACATGCTGAAGCTGGGGAACCCGTTCCTGACTCAGTGGCAGCGCCGATACTTCTATCTGTTCCCCAACCGCGTGGAGTGGAGGTGCGAGGGCGAGTCACGGGTGAGTTTCACTCTGTGGATGTCTGTCCGTCCTGAAGCGGGTCTTCTGCTGCTGTGTGTGAACATATGTCTGTCTGTTTGTCCTGAACTCGTGCTGACGGAGAAGTGGCTAAGCCATTTTAAAAAGCAGAGAGATGGGGTGAGTGCTAACACCAGGTCCAGGTCCCTGCTGTGTTTGTCCAGAAGCTGTGTAGAGCTGTAGTGCTCCTCCCTGGTTCAGTCTCAGTGGTGTGTGCTCAACTCCTTGCGCCCTCCTCAAACGGCTGCTGTTACAGTGGTGTGAAAAAGTATTTGCCCCCTTACTGATTTCTTATCTTTTTGCATGTTTGTCACACTGTAATGTTTCAGATCATCAAACAAATTTTCTGAAATGCGGTGTTACTTTTACGCCACACATAATGGGACACACACCTTCCAAAAAGTTCAACTTTTGTCTTGTCTGTCCACAGAGTATTATCCCAAACGTCTTGGGGATCATCAAGATGTTTTCTGGCAAAACTGAGACGGCCCTTTATGTTCTTTTGGCTCAGCAGTGGTTTTCGTCTTTGAACTCTGCCATGCAAACCATTTTTGCCCAGTCTCTTTCTTATGGTGGAGTCATGAACACTCAGCTTAACTGAGGCAAGTGAGGCCTGCAGTTCTTTGGATGTTGTTGTGGGGTCTTTTGTGACCTCTTGGATGAGTTGTCGCTGCGCTCTTGGGGTAATTTTGGTCGGCTGGCCACTCCTGGGAAGGTTCTCCACTGTTCCATGTTTTCGCCATTTGTGGATAATGGCTCTCACTGTGGTTCGCTGCAGTCCCAAAGCTTTAGAAATGGCTTTATAACCTTTTCCGGACTGATAGAGCTCCATTATTCTCTTTCTCATTTGTTTTTGAATTTCTTTGGATCTCGGCATGATGTCTAGCTTTTGAGGATCTTTTGGTCTACTTCACTTTGTCAGGCAGGTCCTATTTAAGTGATTTCTTGATTGCGAACAGGTGTGGCAGTAATCAGGCCTGGGTGTGGCTAGAGAAATTGAACTCAGGTGCAATAAACCAGAGTTAAGTTATGTTTTGACAGGGGGGCGAACATTTCTTCACACAGGGCTATGTAGTTTTGGATTTTGTTTTGCCTTAATAATAAAAACCTTCATTTAAAAACTGCATGATGTGTTTACTTGTGTTATCGTTGACTAATATTTAAATTTGTTTGATGATCTGAAACATTACAGTGTGACAAACATGCAAAAAGATAAGAAATCAGTAAGGGGGCAAATACTTTTTCACACCACTGTAGATGAACAAGAGTAACTCAGAGCTGCTTGCAAACGTTTCAGGGCAAGTCCTCAAAAGTAAGACCTTGTCCATTTAACCCTTTGGACTCCAACTAGCATCCATTATACACCGCTCCCTTTCTTTTCAGAGGTTGCATCCAGGATAAACATCCATAAATCTGCATAGACATAATGAAAACATGCTCCCTTTAACTTCAGGTCTGCCCCATAAATGTCATGTTTAGATGTTTTCTGCAATATCAGCAGTTATCCATCAAGTAAATCAGCTGATCTAAAACCCTCTGAGGAACTGCTGCTCAGTTCAGGCAAGAGCTGTAGAGGTGCACAACAAGCGACTAAACGCAGTGACAGGTGTAGCTTGTAGAGGGAGAAACGATTATTCCCAGTTCTATGCCAGACCACCTTGTTGGCACACGACACCAGGATCTAATCGTTAACTGACCTTAGTGCTTTTCCAAAGGATTCACAGTTTATACAGAGATTATTTGTTGAATAGCAGCAAATCTCCAAACTGCTGTCTTATATTGACAAGCTGGCTCCATTCGACCGACAGCGGGTCTGAACACGGCCTGTAGTTACCGTGTTCAAGCCTGTAAATAAAGGCCGACTCCTCTGCGGGGACCGGGTCCTTTAAATGAAGTAGCAGCTTTCAAAGCCTTGCCTGATGCTGTCATCATGTGTTGGCACTGGTTTTTGTCAGGTCTTTACAAGGAGTCGAGCCTCAAGTCCAGCTAAGCTGCTAGTGTCTCCTCTCTGCAGTAACCATTGCTTTCTGGAGTGGAAGTCCGCTGTGGCCATGATGCATCATTATGTCTGGCCTGCTGTGCACTCCACATTTGCACGTTTGATTGGTCACTTTTGTTCACAGCAAAACCTGCTGACGATGGAGCAGATTTCGTCGGTGGAGGAAACACAGATCAAAGACAAGAAGTGTATCCTGCTGCGCATCAAAGGAGGGAAGCAGTTTGTGCTGCAGTGTGAGGTAGGACCGCCATCCCATGGTTTACCTGTCTGATCAGCCTCAGTGAGACAGAGCAGTTCCCTTTATGTGTGTGTGTGTTTTTTGTTTTGTTCTGCAGAGCGATCCGGAGTTTGTGCAGTGGAAGAAAGAGCTGAACGAAGCGTTCACAGAAGCCCAGAAGCTGCTGCGTCGTGCCCCTAAAGTCATCGGGAAAAGTCAGGCCGGAGTGGTGGAGCTCTCCAAACCTCCCCTCACACACCGCAATAGCAATGGCCTGTGAACACACACACATGCAGTCACACACCCACACACACACACATATACACAGCCAAACACACACACTTGACACACACACTGCATCCCACACTCCCACAACACCTCGAAGTGTGTGTGCGGATGCCCACCATCCCCCTGCCGACCACACACTCGCTCCACATGGCGACCAGTCATAAGTGTGATGTAGTTTTTTCCTGCCATGGGACCTTGCCAGTCACCAAGAGGAAGGACAGACAACGAGGCGAGGAGAGAAATAATCGGGAGGACTCAGCATGTGAAGAACCTCTGCATGAATGTGATGAGGACTAACGCGCGGTCCTCTCTTGTCCCAGTCTCTCTCTTTTCCTTTGTCCTTCCCCGGCATCCTCCCTGTCTCCCTCACCAACCACCTGGCTCTCTTCAAATCAGGAGAACAGCAGTGACCTGATGGCTCCTCCACAGACCCACAGGGCTCAATGTGATTACTGTTGGCCTTCTGAGAGGTGTTTCCCTTTGTCTCTCGGAGGCGATGCAGATGAGGCCAGGCTTTAGTGGGGAATGTATTTTTACAAGAGGAAAATCAACGATAAAAGGCTGCTCGACTGGTTCTTCTCATCACTCTCTCTAGCCATTCCCCCTGTTACTGAAGTGCATAAAGTGCCAATGTCAATATTTACTTGAGTCACCCAGGACGGGCCTGCTTTGATGGCAGGTGTCGCTCCCGGATGCACAGCGGCCAAGGGCATTTGTGGTTTTTGTGGGTGTGGGGGTGGTTCATCATTCCTTTACAGAAACTGGAAGTACAAGGACCACAGACTCTTACAGATTGGCTCTTGTACACCCAGTTACCATAGAGACTGAGATTTTATTGGCTAACAAACAGCAGCTGGTTACTATGGGAACCATGAAGACTGGTGTACCTGGGGATGGGTGACCACAGACAGTGGTGTAACTTTAGTGTATGAAGGCCTCATTTACAGAAAGAGATGGCGGTGGAGGGAGGACGGGGCCGTGGAAGTGACTCTATGTATATAAGCAACCCTGTCTCTGTGCATCTCCAATGTTTTAGTCTAACGTGTTTGCATTATCGAGGACTTCTCTGTCGGTCCGTTTGTGAATCTTTCCTGGCTTTCAGGGGAGGGATGAAGAGGAGGAGGCGGAGAAGGCTTGTGTTCCTGCTGGGTGGGGGTGGGGGTGTGAACAGGCAGGAGTCTGACAGCTTTCAATCACTTGCAGTGCTGCATTACCTCAGTTGGATTGTGTCATGGAGCCGAGACCCTCATTAGATGACAAGCACGTACACACTGCATCATGTCGCGCAGATTTTTGGAAATAATTCATCGCCCTGCTCACACATGATGATTTAAAATTTCAGCGTTGGGCCAGCTGTGGGGGGGAGTCTGAGTGCAGGGGGCTAATTAAAGGAAGAATTCACCCTCAAACACCGTGATCATAGTCAACATGGTCTCCCACATGTTCAAGGCGTTTCAGGTGCTTGGTTTTTTTTTTCCTATGAAGGGTTGGAAATCTTTTTTGCACTCATTCCTGCAACCTGCCTCATCTACATGTAGTCCTGTGTGGTTGATTTGGCCTGCATTTCCCAGAATGCCCTTGGACAGCCTGCAGAGAGCATTTAGCTGTCTTTGACAGAAGTCGGAAAATAGCAACAACAAAGCGGTTTTTCCAGTACATTGCAATTTTTTCCTGGGAATGCGACTGCGTTGTTGCCATTGTTATCGATTGACTAATGATTGTTTTCTAAACGTGTGTTCATATAGCACAAAACCCCCAAACATTCAGTTTTACCTGTGAAAAAGCCCCCATCAGCTCACACTGGACAAGCTGCATCCGGGGCCGTGGTTCTGCTTTTTTGATGAATGATTATCAGAACATTTCCCAGTAAAGTGTATGCGTATGTGGATCTGATCGTGCCAAGCATTGTATTCTGCCTTCTCAGTCCTGACAGCTGCAGCAGGGTTCTGTACACGCCACGTCCGTTTCTGCTGGAGCAGCTTGTGTCTCTGAAGCCCGTCATTCACTTGTAAATCTGTCTATTGGCATTTGACTTTAATTTTTAATGATGCACTTCAACTGTTTGTGGCTTTATGAAATCTGATCACGGCTCATAAATACTGCGCTGACCAGCTGTCATTGCCAAGCTGCTGATGGAACTATTTCAGGATCAGACAAACCCGGCGTAAACACAGGTTAATGATACAGGTGACAGTTCAGAGCAGCAGCAAGTTGTCATCCGAGTAAAGCTGTCCACCTGGTTGCCATCGGGACTCGACACAGACCATTCAGCTCCTAGAGGTTTTCTTTCACACTGTATGTTTGTCATGTGAGTGTGTGAACAGCCGTGCGCTTCATTCTGGCTTTGTATCTTCATCCGGTGGACAGACTTTTTCTCATTACACAGGTCCTCTGCTCAACTTGAGACAATTTAAAAAGGATGGCATATAGGAAAAGATTCAAAGTATATATAAATATATGTGTATATGAAATGACAAAATGCTCTAGGTTTATTTAAAAGATTTAATGTAGAAAACAAAATGACAATGTTCAGGGGAGGTTGGGGTTTTGACGTGACTAGACTTGTTTGTGGTGAAGACTTCAGCTCGAATCTTGCACATAAAGACTTTAGATATTGTACCTGCGAGTTCCAGATGATTATTTTTGTTTAAAGACCAGACTCTTTGCTCTTTCATATTTATTGCGTGTGTGGGGAGCTGTCTCGCATCACCTCTCCTCCACGTGTATGAGCTCTCAGCCGAGAGCTCGCTGTAGAAACCCCTGGTTTACACCCATCAGAAACTTTCCTTTTCATATACCACAGACAAACACAGATACTACTGGCTTTGGGTTGTTCTGAGAATACTGATATACAGTGAGTACGGAAAGTATTCAGACCCTTAAATTTTTCACTCTTTGTTATATTGCAGCCATATGCTAAAATCATTTGTTCATTTTTTTCCTCATTGTACACACAGCACCCCATATTGACAGAAAAACACAATGTTCGACATCTGAATACTTATGACCATGTGATATTTCAGTTTTTCTTTTTTAATAAATCTGCAAAAATGTCAAAAATCCTGTGTTTTTCTTAAATGATTTTTTGCACTCATTCCTGCAACCTGCCTCATCTACATGTAGTCCTGTGTGGTTGATTTGGCCTATAAATGAACTTAAATGATTTTAGCATATGGCTGCAATATAACAAAGTGAAAAATTTAAGGCGGTCTGAATACTTTCCGTACCCACTGTACAATTGATATTATTAAATGTTTATTATTAAAAATAATTTTATTTCAATGATTTTTCTTTTTGTTTCAAAACAGGTAGGATGTTGCGTGTTGGACTGCTTGTAAAAACAGTTCATGAATAAAAATCCTTTTTCCGTGTTGCCTTCTGTCACATTTGATTTGCTCTTCAAGTGCAGCTCTGCCAGACTTATCAGTAATATGGACAAAGTTATGTTAGTCACCAGTTTTCATTAGTTATCACAGGGTGCAAGTTCAGTCCCAAGTCAGTCTTACTCGCTTCTTCTGGAGCCTTTAACCAGGTCAGATGTGTGATGTGTTTTGAGAATGAATTCTTACTTCACTTTAAACCAGCCTGGACCAGAAGTCCTCAACGATGTGGATGAAGTTACAACAGCTACTTGTGAGTTTGGCGTCTGCAGCTACTGATAAATGTGCTTAGAAATCATGGGACCAAAGACACTTCTACCACAAAACTGCCCTGAGAATTATGTCTTTGATTTCTTCAGTATCACATAATCCAGTAAAAGTTGTCCATGGTCCACTGTCAACAGGAGCTGCTGATAGCTAATTCAGCATTATTTTAATTTGCACAAATATAAATATAGGCTGAAAAGAGAAACCCAGTACCAACAGTTGACAATGGCCATGGCCCATGTGATGAGTTGTTACAGGATCATGTGCTGCATCGTTTCCCCAAACAGGAATAATTGTCTGAACTAGACAGATGTCTTCTTCCAAAAAGAACAAGCAGCTTCTCATGTGGAAAAACTCAAATCCACTTTGAATAAGATGTTGGAGGCAGAGCAGCTGGTTCACAGAGAAACAGAAGGTAACAATGATAAGCTGCCATAATTAATACACTCTAGGTAGGATTGTTAAAGCCTGCCCACCTCCCCTGCAGCCACCAGTCCAGCCTGAATGGAGCTCAGATTAAAACACATAACTGAACAATACCGTGTCAAACTGTCATGCATTTGTTGTTCCTTGGGTGTAATGGGCTTCCAGATGTATAGAGTGAATGTAGTGCAATGAGAGAGCAGATAAAGCCTGAAGCTGGTCTGGTTTTTAATAGTCCAGACTGAAGCTACAAACAGTGGATCCTGCTGCTTCAAACGGAGCAGCTCTTCTTCCTGAGCTTCAGCTGCTGCTCCTCAGTAAAGTGAGTAGAAATAAATGTGTGATAACAGTTTGTGTTTTCCAGGCACATGAGCAACACAGATTAAAATCTAAACCCAGGAGGGCAGGTGTTTTTCCTTCTGTCACTCATCCCCTTTATAAGGCCCACAGGCTGTAGATGTGACCAGGCCAATATACAGGCCTAGGCAACTCAGACCGTAGTAACTTTTAGTAGTTCCCCAAGAATAACACCCCTCCTGTTTTCAGAGGTCAAATTCATGCAAACTTCCCCAGTACTGAGCTGCTACCCCCAGACAGATCTGCAAAACACAGAGACACTGGAGTTACTCACACAAATAAAACTTTGAGTCTTAGTGGAAATATTTTAAGAAACCTAACCCCAGAAGCTAAAATGCTACCTATAAGAAGTTTCCCCCCTACTCAATAAATACAGTGCAGAACAGGAATAAAATGGTCAGAGTCAACAGGCTAAAAGGCACAATTAAATAAGACACCACAAATCAATTAATCATGCATCAACCAAATATAAAGAGGGCCTTGCCTCCCTGTGCATAAAACCATTCACACGCTGTTCACACCATAAGATTGACTAAACCCTATTTGGAAACAATACAATAAATAGGGAACATAATACTAGGTAAACCTCTTAACATAAAAGCAAACAAGGCAAAACGTTGCATAAGCAAA